GNGCNCTNCCCCCGCCCCCGCGCCCTCCCTCGAGCCCTCCCCCCCACCCCCGTCCTCGCACGCCACACCAAACGCACAGCGATCATGCGCGCGACCGCGCTCGTCCTCGCCGCGCTCGTCGCCGCGGCCGCGTGCGTCTCCGGCGCGAACGCCGCGCCAGACGACGCGTCAACACGCTGGGGCAACACGCACCACGACAGCAAGCTGTTCGACAAGGACGGCGACGTCGCGTCCGCGCGCATCGCGTACGCGGACGCCGCGCGCGGCTACGCGCGCGCGAAGCACGACGCCGCGATGTCGCGCGTCGACGCCGCGCACGAGCACTTCAAGTCCGCGATGACCGCCGCGCTCGCCGCGCTCGGCGACGCCGCGGCGGCGTGGCACGCGCACGCGACGGAAACGCGCGAGGCTCTCGCGGAACACGCGAGAGACTCGGTCGAGAAGACCAAGGCGCACGTCGACGACGCGCGCGAAAAGATGCGTTCGCACGTCGACGACGCGCACGACGCGCACAGAGCGCGCGCGGCGAAGGTCGCGGACGCCGCGAGCGAGCACGTCGCGAAGTGGACGGGGAAGGACGACGCGGATAACAGGCGCGTTCTATACACTGGTCCCCATACGACCGCGTTCGCGTGGTGAACGCCGATCCTTAAGGACTTCGCCCGGCGCGTCTCTCCGCCCAGGGTCCCTCGCTTTCAATCCCTGCCCTCGACGCCTTTCAACTCCACCTGACGCCTATGAACTCCACCCCGACGTTCGTCGCTTTGTATGGAACGACCCTCAGTCGCCGCCGCCGCCGCGCGCTTCTGGAACATCACGGCGGCGACGCCGACGGAACACACGCGATGTTGGACCACGACGGAATGAAGATGTCCTCCCACCACGACGACGCCGACGCCCACCACGCGATGAAGAAGGCGTGGACGTCCAGCGGCGGCCACGGCGACTGGAGCGTCGGTTCGCATCACGAGAAGATGAAGCGTCACCGCCAGCACGCGCACGAGTCGTGGGCGGACTGGATCGAGACGAAGATGAAACGCGGCGCGGAACTTCGCGACGCCGCGCGCGACCACGCGCGCGCTTCGATGCAGACGGCGTCCGAGCACGTCGCGAACGCGCACGCGAAGAAGAAGGAGCGCGTCGCGAACGTCGCGGAGATGCTTCACGGCGGGAAGAAGAACTGAGACGACTGACGTCGCGCGCAGCCGTCGATTTCAATTTTTGGCAATTTTTGGTTTTTTTGCGGTCGCGACGACGACGACGACGACGACGACGTGCTGTCACTACTGTAACATACGAGCGAGACCCCCGTCTGTCTGTCGTCGCGCCTATAGCGCGCTACAAGTTAAATTCTATCGCCATCCGTTCGAGCTTCGCCGCGAACGCGGCGTCGTCGTCCTCGTCCTCGCCCGCGCCCGACCCCGTCGACGTCTTCGGATCCGACCCGGGCTCCAGTCGCGCCTCGAGTTCGACCCTCCGTCGCCGCTCCTCGCGCAGCTCCGCGCGCAGCCGCTCGCACTCCCGCTCGAGCGCCGCGGTCCTCTCTCCACCGCCGCCGCCTTCCTCGTCGTCGCGCGCGAACGAGATCTTCCGGCCGCCGTTTTCCTCAGGGCCGTTCCATACAAGCGAAAGTCGGGGTGGAGTTGAAAGGCGTCAGGTGGAGTTGAAAGGCGCCGAGGGCGGGGATTGAAAGCGAGGGGTGGGTGGAGAGATGCGCCGGGCAAAGTCCTTAAGAAACGGCGTCCACATCGCCAACGCGGTCGTATGGGGACCAGTGTATAGAACGCACCTCATACCGCCCGCGCGCCGCAGTCTTCGTCACGATCGATTCCCGCGCCCCCTTCATCGCGCTCGGGACGTCGCGCGTCGTCGCGCCGCCACCCCACGCCTCGACGACGTCCCTCCTCGCGCGCGCGATCTCGTCGTCGAGCGCGTCCGCGGCGTGCAGCGCGCGCTCAGCCTCGTGGCGCGCGAGCCGCGTCTCCGCGTCGACGCGCGCGGCGTCGACGACGGCGAGCTCAGGGTCGTTCCATACAAGGCGATGGCGGGGTGGTGTTCAAAGGCGTCAGATGGAGTTGAAAGGCGCCGAGGCCGGGGATTGAAACCGAGGGGCGGGCGGAGAGATGCGCCGGGAAAAGTCCTTAAGGATCGGCGTCCACCACGCCGACGCGGTCGTATGGGGACCAGTGTACAGAACGCACCTCGGATTCCAGCGCGGCGACGCGCGCGCGGAGGCGCGCGGCGACCGCGTCTTTGGCCTCGAGCGCGACGCGCGCGTTCTCCGCCACCTCGAACGCGGAGACGACGACGCCGTGATCGTCGGTGGCGGCGTGCGCGGCGGGCGCGGACGGCGACGCGCGCGCGGAATCGAACGACGGCGACGGCGGACGGCGACGACGATGATGCTGAGGGCCGTTCCATACGAGCGAACGTCGGGGTGGAGTTCAAAGGCGTCAGTTGGCGTTGAAAGGCGTCGAAGGCGGGGATTGAAAGCGAGGGGTGGGCGGAGAGAAGCGCCGGGAAAAGTCCTTAAGGATCGGCGTTCACCACGCCAACGCGGTCGTATGGGGACCAGTGTATAGAACGCACCTGATGATGTTGTTGTCGCCCCCCCCACCGCTCCGATCCCGACGACGCGCGGCTCGCCGCGGAGTCGCTCGCGACGGACCGCGCGATGGGCGACGGCGGGGGCCGCGCCGCCGACGTCTTCGCGGCGGTCGCGTCGGCGTCGGCGTCGGCGTCGGCGTCGTCGCCGCGGCGCGGCGACGGCGGCGGCATCGTGGTCGTCGTCGTGGTCGTGGTCGTCGAAGTCGATCGCCCGCTCGCGCTCTTCTTCTTCTTCGTCGTCGTCTTCAGGAACGAGAACATCCCTCCTCCGCTCTTCTTCTTCGGCTTCGCGTCGCCCCACGTCCTTCGCTCGCCGCCGCGGTCGCCGTCGAGCCCGGACGACGCGGGCTCGGGCGCGGCGGCGGCGGCGGCGTCGCCGACGCGCGTCGTCGACATCCGCGTCGACGGCGCTGCGGGAGAAGTGAAGAATTCGCATTTTAATGCGTGCGCGTCGTCGTCAGCTCGGTCGTCGCGGTCGGTCGAATCCGCCCGCCCTCCGAAACGTAGCGACAATTGGCTCGGCTCGTCGCGGCACAGATGCGGAGCGCGGCGCTCCTCGCTCGCGCGCACCCGCGCGTCCACGCCCAGGCGTCGTCCACGTCCACGAAAACGAAACCCGCGCCGGCGAAGACGCTCTCGCGCGCCAGCATGAAGACCGTGCGTCCCCGCTCGAGCCCCGCGTCGTCGTCACATTCTTCCGGTCGTCGGGAAGGGTTACAGTACACACAACCCGCGGTCCTCGTCACTCCGTGTCGTGAAAAGCGAATAATCGCTGACGCCCCCCCCGCCCGCCCCCCCCGTCGATCGCCGTGACTGATCCCCGCTTCTCCGCTCAGGTCCCGCTTCACGTCGGGTTCGTCGGCACCGGCCTCATCGGCGGCGTCGCGGTCAAGCAGGTCGCGAGCCGCGCGGGGACGCTGCTCGAGCAGACCGGCCTCGACCTCAAGCTCGCGGGCGCGACGGACAGCAAGGCGCGTTCATATTTACACTGGTCCCCGTACGACCGCGTCGGCGTGGTGAACGCCGATCCTTAAGGACTTCGCCCGGCGCATCTCTCCGCCCAGGGTCCCTCGCGTTCAATCCCCGCCCTCGGCGCCTTTCAACTCCACTTCTGACGCCTTTCAACTACACCCCGACGTTCGTCGCTTTGTATGGACCCTCGACCCTAAGAGCATGATCCTCGCGTCAGATCCCGCCGCGGGGCTCGCGAACGACGCGGTGACCGGCGGCGCGGACGGCGCGGTCGCGGACTGGAACGCGGAGGCGCTGAGCGGCGAGATATCGCCGTGCGACTTGGACGCGTTCGCGGCGGCGCTGCGGGAGCGCGCGGAGGCGACGGGCGCGCACGCGGTCATCGTGGACAACACGTCGTCGGAGGCGCGTATTTATTCCTCACGCCGGTCCCCGTACGACCGCGTTCGCGTCGTGAACTTCGTTCCTTAAGGACTTTCTCTCCCGGCGGGCGAGTCTCTCCGCCCATCCCACCCCACGCTTTCGATCCCCGCTCGCGCTCGCTTTCAACGCCGACTGACGCTTCCTTTGAACGCCGCCCGCCCACCCCGTGCGACCCTCATCATCAATCAGGCGGTGGCGGACCGGTACGAGGGCTGGCTCGCGAGCGGCGTGCACGTCGTGACGCCCAACAAAAAAGCCAACAGCGGCGATTTAAAACGCTTCAAGGCGATACGAACCGCCGCGACGTCGTCCGGCGCGAAGTGGCTGTGCGAGGGCACGATCGGCGCCGGGCTGCCCATCGTCAGCACGCTCCGAACGCTCCGCGCGTCGGGCGACGAGATTCGATCCGTCCAGGGCGTCTTCTCGGGTGCGTTCTGTACGAACGTTTTTCACCATACAAAAGTTTTTCACCCATAGCTCGATTTCAACACTTGATCGCGTCTCCTTTCAACTGACCGATGAACTATTTTTGTATGGAACGACCCTCATCAGGGACGATGTCGTTCCTGTTCAACACCTGGGACCCCGCCGGCGGCCAGCCGTTCAGCGAGGTCGTGCTCGCCGCGAAGGCCGCGGGGTTCACGGAGCCGGACCCGAGGGACGACCTCAACGGGATGGACGTCGCGAGGAAAGTCGTCATCGCCGCGCGGGAGAGCGGCGTCGACTTGGAGCTCGCCGACGTGACCACGCGGTCGCTCGTCCCTCCCTCGCTCGAGGTGCGTTCTATACACTGGTTCCCATACGACCGCGTCGGCGTTGTGAACGCCGATCCTTAAGGACTTTTGCCGTCGTCTCTCTCCGCCCACACCTCGCTTTCAATCCCCGCCCTCGACGCCTTTCAACTCCAACTGACGCCTTTCAACTCCACTTCGCCATCGCTTTGTATGGAACGGCCCTGAGTCGTGCGACGCCGCGGAGTACGTGTCGAGGATGGCGGAGTTCGACGGCGACATCGCGAAGGAGGCTGCGGACGCGGCGAGCCGCGGGAACGTGCTTCGGTTCGTCGGGAAGGTTGACGTGGAGAAGGGCGTCGGGAGCGTCGAGCTCGGCGAGTTTCCGAAGACGCATCCGTTCGCGGGGCTCCAGGGCGCGGACAACGTGGTGGAGATTCAGGCGCGTTCTATCTCACACTGGTCCCCATACGACCGCGTTCGCGCGGTGCACGCCGTTCCTTAAGGACTTTCTTTCCCGGCGCATCTCTCCGCGCACCCCTCGCTTTCAATCCCGACACACCTCGACGCCTGTCAACTCCGCTTCTGACGCCTTTCAACTCCACCCCGACGTTCGTTCGCTCGTATGGACCCTCGACCCTCAGTCCTCGAGGTACAGCGCCGTGGGCGGGAGCACGCCGCTGATCGTGCGCGGGCCGGGCGCGGGCGCGGCGGTGACCGCGGGAGGGGTGTTCGGCGATCTGTGTAAGCTCGGCGCGCAGCTCGGCGCGTCCGTGCTCATCTGATGAGGGATGGACGGACGACGCCGCGAAGAGACGTGGAAACCCCTAAACCCCGCCCGCCGCGACGGGAAAAAAAAAACTCGACGACCGAGACGACGACGACGACGACGGAGGAACGAGCGCGACCGCGCCCGCGGGCGAGCGAAACAGCTTGCGCGCGTCGGCGATGTAAAAATAACGAAACCACCAACCGTCCACGTGTGCATTCAATCTCGAACGCCGCGCGCGCGCGTCGCACCCCCCGACCAGCAAATCTCGACCTCGACGTCGAACTCGTCGATCGATCACCGCTCATCACGTGAGATCGTCCTCCTCCTCCTCGACGTCCTTCGCGATCTTCTTCTTCGCCCGCAACAACAGCTTCGTCTTCCACGGATCTAACCGGCTCATGGAGTCGTACTCCGCGAGGACCGCCGTGAACTTCTCCTGGTCCCCTTCCTCCGCCGCGGACGACAGGTCCGCCAACAGCGTGTGCTCTCTGGACGTCGAAAACGACGGGTCCAAGTCTTCGTACCGTCGGAATGGAGTTGAAAGGCGTCAGTTGAAGTTGAAAGGCGCCGAGGACGGGGATTGAAAGCGAGGTGTGGGCGGAGAGACGCGCCGGGAAAAGTCCTTAAGGAACGGCGTCCACCACGCCAACGCAGTCGTATGGGGACCAGTTTATAGAACGCACCTTCGTACCGCTCCAACGCGTTCTTCACGCCGACGGGCTCCTGCGAGCACAGCCGGCACAACCCCGCGTTCAAAAGGTAGCCCTTCACGCTGAACCGAAGGAGGTTGTTCGAGACGGACGCCTTCGCGACTTCCTCGAAGACCTCGATCGCGAGCGGGTATCGCTCGAGCGACGCGGAGAGCTCCGCGACTTTAAGCTTGCAGTTGTTCGCCGCCGTGGAGACCTCCTCGCCGCCGTACAGATCCGCGGCTTGCATGTACGCCTGACGTGGAGATGGTTGACGTGGAGAGATGCGATCGGTCAGTGAGGCGCGCGCGCGGATATCAGTGGATACTCTGTTGATGACGTGTTGATGACGTGTTGCATGGATGATGGGCTGACGTGTCGTCGCGCGATTGGTCGGCGGAAGGAAGGACGCGCCGGCGGCGGCGGCGTCGTCGCACCTCGCACGCGTCGTCCTCCTTTTCGTCTTTTTCGTACTGCTCCGCGATGTCCTTCAGGTGCTTCGCCGCGATGGACAGCCGTCCCATGTCCGTGAAGTGCGATATCGCGACTCGCAGGCTCGCGATCGCGGCGGCGGGGTCTACCTTCTTGTTCGCGTTCGCCGCCTCCACGTGCGCTTGCGCCGCCTCGTGCTTGCTGTCGCACTTCAGATGGCAGTCGGCGAGGAGCGCGAACGCGTCCGCGGCCTCTCGCCACATCTTCGCGAGCTTGTAGTTGTTGCACGCCTTCTCTAAGAGCTCCGACGCTTCCTCGTACTTGTTCCCGAACATGGACGCGAACATCCCGGCCTGAGGGAGGCGCGGCGCGGGCGTGAGACGGGCGCGATCTGAGCGAGGCCGCGCGGGGAGGGAGGAGAGGAAAACGCGGAGCGTAGGGGGGGACGCGCGCGCGAGATCGGCGGACAGAAGGGCGGAGACGCGCGCGATGCGATTCGCACCTTGAGCTTCTTCTGCGCCTTCTTCATGAATTCGTCCGCTTTCGCGGCGTAGTCCGTCATGGCGCCCGAGGATGGAGGGGGGGGGCGGGCGGCGCGGTCACTTCTGTCTCGGACCGTTCGAGTTCTTTCGATGGTTCGTTCTGTTCTGTGCTGTTGTGAACTCTCAAGTCTGAACTTGCCGCTGAAAAAATCCAAGTCGCGGAGCCGGTGGCTCTCTACCCATCACTCTCTCTCTCGTACCGCGTACGTTCGCTTCCTATCGTCTCGTCTGTCGTCCGTCGCGTCGTCGCGCGCCGCGCTCGGTGGATCGCATCGCTCGCCTCAGCTCCTCCCCCCTCCTCGCGTCGCCTTCCCCGCGGGCGACGGCGTCGCCGGCGCCGGCGGCGGCGCCTCCGATACCGCGGGCCCCCCGCGCTCGCGCTCGCGCTTCTTCTCGCCCTCGTCCTCGTCCCGAGCGCCGCGGACGACGACGAGCGCAGTGCGCGCGTGGTGCAGGACGTGGTTGCACGCGCTGCGAACGAACGAATAAGGTTAGAATGGAATGGAATGGGTCGGGTCGGGCGGTCGGACGGGCGGTCGAGTCGTCGCGTCGACGCCGGCAGCGATTTTTTATTTTTCAACTCGCTCGAGACGAGAGAAGACGCGCCGGTCGAACCCGGCGCGGCGCACCTTCCGACGAAAAACTCCTTCATCCGACCCTTTCCGTGCGGCGCCATCACGATCGCGGCGGCGCGAAGCTCCCTCGCGTGGTTGCATATCACCTCGCCGACGCTCCAGCTGTCCAAGTCGCCGCGCGTGACGTCCGCGACGAACTTCACGTCAGCCGCGCGCAAGGCGGGCGCGAACCTGCGGCGCGGGCGAAGCGATGCGATCGGTCAGCGCGTGAGCATATTCGTTGACGTGGCACATCGTGTGGTGGGTAACGAACGGTCGGATACGACGTATCAGATGCGGCAAAAGTCCTTAAGAAACGCGGTCGTATGGGGACCAGTCTGGCACCTGCGCGCGACGAACGCCTCCGCGTTGCGTCGGTCGTTCGCCCTCTGCACGCGTTCGTCCCGCTCGATCTGATCGAAGTAGGTCGCCCTCGACGAAGCCCCCGGGAAGCTCATCGCCGCGTCGTAGGGTCGCGTCGCCGTCGGCGTCGTCGGTGAGCGATGCGAGCGAGGACGGGGCGCGACGACGGGCGCGGAGGCGAACGACGGCGGAGGCGACGACGGGGGCGACGACGACGACGAGGCGTAGACCCCAGCGTCTTCCATCCACACCATCGGCCCGCCGTAGGCTATGTATCGCGACGGGTGCGTCGCGGGGACGACGTGCAGGAGGTGGAGGACGTCGTCGCCGTTCGCGCGGAGGAGGTGCTCGATCGCCCACGTCACCGCGCGCGACGCGTCGTCGGTGTCGTCCACCGGCGCGAGGATAAGGCGCGGCGTGGGGTGGGGGGGAGGAGGAGGCGGGCGCGACGGCGGCGACGACGACGCGTCGTCGGAGGCGGCGGCGGAGGACGCGTTCGCGGCGTGGATCTCCGCCGGCGCCGCCGCGCGCGAGGACTCGAGCGTCGTTTCGGGCATCGCGGCGAGCGACGCGGCGCGCGGGTGGGGGGTAGTGTCGTGGCTTTTGAGGCTCTCTTGGCGTCGAGTATCGAGACTGATGAGCACAAAAAAATCATCGGTCAGTTGAAAGACGGCACGATCAAATGTTGAAACCGAGCGGTGGGTGAACACAGAACGCTCGGCTGATGACACTCAAAAAAATCTCCGAGATCGCGGCTCTCCTCGCGCCAACTAGACCTCGCCGCGATCGCTCGCAGCGTCGTCGTCACTCGCGATCGAGCGACTAACCTCGCGCGTCGCCCACCCCCCGCGCGCCTCGCACGCGCGCCCCGGAGAGAGAGATGATCTCGCGCGCGTGCGCCTCCGCGCTTCCGTCCGCGGCGCTCGCGCCGCGCGTCGTCGCGACGAAGACCTTTTCGGCGAAGAGACGCGATCGCGTTTCGCCGTCGTCGAAAAGATCCGTCGCGCCCGCGCGCGGCGCTCGCGTCGTCGTCCTCCCGCGCCGTCGCCGGTCCTCCCTCGTCGTCGCGTCCGCCGGCGCGCCGTCGGACGTGGAGGACGCGACCGCGTCTACTGAGACCGCCGCCGCGTCTGAGAACGCGTCCGAGTACGTCCTCGACGAGAGCGACGACGGCGTGAAGACGCTCTCGAAGACGTCGACCGCGGTCGACGACGACGACGACGACGTCGACCCCGCCGTCGACGCCGCGCGCGCCAGGTCGCTGAAGACCGGGACTGGGCTCGTGATCGGCGCGAGCGCGTCCCTCGTCGCGCTCGCGCTCGGCCTCAGCGCGGGCGCGGTCGTGGAGGGCCTGGAGCAGATCCCGCTGCTTTCGGGGTTCGAGGTGCGATCGATACCTTCATTCACCCTGACGCGTCCTTTCAAGGCCCCGCGCGGTTCCGCTTTCGAGAAGACCCGCGATCCCTTTCAACGTAATGAAACTGACCGACGGACGAAACCCGACAAAAAACGTTTCACATCGATCGATACATCCGCAGGAAGCGCTCGGCGTCGCGGTGTCCGCCTACTACGCGCAAAAGTACCGCTCGAGCTTCATCACCGCCGCGGGACGCGAGAAGTTCCGTCTTCAGCTCATCCAGTCCTTCAGCGAGGTCACCGGCGTCGCGTCCGTCGCGGGAAGGCTCGCGCGGACCGATCCGGAACTCGACGCGCAAATTCAAGGCGAGTCATGTTTTTCACCCCGCCGCCGCTCGGTTTCAACGCGCGCTCGATCGCGTCGGTCCCTTTCAACTGACCGATGAATGCACTTTTTCGATCCGCCGGCCCCACAGGCATCATCGGCGACCTGCGCGACCTCCCCGAGAACGGCGAGGAACTCCCCGTCGCCGTGCGAGAAGCCGTCGCCGCGTTCATCCGCAACCGTGACGGCGCGCTCGTCGAGGAGTCAGGTGCGTTCTGTACACTTGTCCCCATACGACCGCGTCGGCGTGGTGAACGCCGTTTCTTAAGGACTTTTCCCAGCGCATCTCTCCGCCCATCACCCCACGGTTTCAATCCCCGCCCTCGGCGCCTCACAACTCCGTCTGACGCCTTTCAACTCCACCCCGACGTTCGCTCGTATGGACCCTCGACCCTCAGACGCGCTGCGCGCGTCCAACGACGTCCTGCAGCGAGAGGTGGACACGATCGAGCTTCTGCAGACGGATCTCGAGCGCGCGCGACGCGACGTCACCATCGCGCGCGCCAACGTTCGCGTCATGAACCTCGGGGAGAAGGAGCGCGGGGAGCTGAGGTGCGTTCAGGGTCACAAACGTTTTTCACCCATAGCTCATCGGTTTCAACACTTGATCGCGTGGGCCCCTCCCTTTCAACTGACCGGTGAACTAATATATTTTTGTATGGAACGGCTCTCAGAGACGCGACGGAGGAAGCGCGGCGAGAGGGCGAGGCGAACGCGGCGGCGCTGAGGGAGCAGCTGGAGGCGCTCGCGGAGGAGAAACAAAGCGCGCTGGACGACGCGCTCGCCGCGCTCGAGGATGAAAAGGCGAGAGTCGCGGAGGGTGAGAGCGCCAAGGTTAAGGCGATCGCGGAGGCGGTGGCGCGCGCGGAGCGAGACGCCGCGGAGCGCGCGGCGATTCAAGCGGCGGAGAAGGCGAAAGCCGCGGAGGCGAAAGCCGCGGAGGAGGAAAAGGCGCGCGCGATCGCTGAGGCGGCGCGCGTCGCGGAGGTGGAGGCGAACGCCGCCGCGAAGGAGAAAGACATTCGCGACGCGCTCGAGAGGGAGCTGCGCGAGAAGGAGGACGCGCTGCGGCGGGCGAACGAGGAAGCCGCGGCGGAGCGAGCCGCTTTCGCGGCCGCCGCGGAGGCGGCGGCGGCGGCGGCGAAATCGGAAGCCGAAGCCGCGCTCGCGGCGGCGACGGAAGCCGCGCGCGCGGAGGCGGAGAAGGCGAGGGAGGAGACGGCGCGCGCGCGCGAGGACGCCGAGCGCGAGGCGGCGCAAAAGGCCAAGGCGGAGGCGGCGGCGACCGCGGTGACGGCGAAGGCGGAGGCGGCGG